CTACCCAGCCTACACCACTTGTTGTCAAAAACAACCCCCCTCCCGCTGTTGCCTCTGCTGCAGCTACTACCCCCTCCAGAACAGATAACCCACCAACCCCAGAGGCGACTGACCTAACCATCGTCAAGAAAGAGCCACAACCAGTGCTTGCCGTAGAGACAGAGGAAGCCACAAAGACCGAAATGGAAACTGTTAAAACTTCAGTTACTGAAATAGCTCAGATGCCAAAAGCCAGCAGCACCAGTACATGTTTACTATGCGACGACTGTCCTGACAACCTGGAGGCGTTGCACCTCCTCCAGCATCGCAAAGCAGCCAATGGGGAGGCCGTCGACTCTGCAGCCCTGGACCCTTCGTTTGCTGCCTTGCTGAGTGAGGCTGGGGTGACGCTGGAGGAGCCACCTGTGGATGACCTCCTCTCACTCCTCAAGACATACTTCGCCTCCAATGCCAACCCCAGTGAGGAGGAGCTGACAAAAATCTCAGAGTCCATCAGTATTCCTGTGGATGTGGTCAAAAAGTGGTTTGCCAAGATGAACTGCGGGAAAAATGTGTGTAAACCCGACAGTGACGCTATAGTGGTTTCCAAAAAGACTGAAACCACAGTTTCTATCTCAGTGGACTCCTCAAATCAGAATGGAAAGGAAGAAGATGATCCCCTGCAGGAAGCAACCAACAAAGCCTCATCCGACTCTGGAAGCACTTCTTCATCAGACTCCACATCACTGAACCTAAGCACCGGGGACCTTGTCATCATTAAAAGTGAGCCAGAAGACATGGAGGCCCAAGACACACAGGCAGAGCCACTTGACCTCTCCCTTCCCAAACATATCACAGCAGAGTTGGAAGCCAAAACAACTACGCCTCCCGCCAAACAGCAGGAACAGCCCCTGAACCTGACCTGTCTGAGGAAGGAGCAGCTTGGGGGAAGAGCGATCTACGTCACCACACCTCAGACCGGAAGACCTGTCAACATCGTCACTGCCGCACAGCTGCCCACATTAGTGGCCATCGCTGGTCAGGGCACGATGGGCTGTCTCAGCGCCATCAACACCACAGCAAAGCGAACCATCCTCATCCCCCAGCTCACCTACACCTATGCCACTACCACCGGCAACGCCACAGGAGCAAAGACTGTTGTACTCAATGGGCATAAGGTTAGAAATGCTAAACATCACGCCTTTCAAATACCTTTTTGTGGGTTTTTAGACAGTTATCTTATCATCAAGCATTTGTCTACCTGCTAGTTTCAGGTCAAAGAAACAGGAAGCAATGAACATGATGAATTAATTTTGCATGTACTGTAGCAGCAGGTGCAAATTTAGTTTTGTATTTGCAGTAATTCCTTCATTTCCATACAAACTGTAGCTATGCAAGTTCAATGCACAGCATTAGAAAACAGGTTGGTGGTAAAGTATCATAGCTTCTTTTTCCTAGAGCTACAACTAACCACAGCTTATTATCAATTACTCTGGCAACCATCTTCCTCATTAACTATTATTAGAGGTTTGGTAATTGTGAAAATTCACAGATCCTAAAGTGATTCCCTTGATTTGGCTTGTTTTCTCTGACATAAAACAGAGCTAATTTTCCTTAGGCTATTGCCTTCAGTTGAGACATGGCATTAAATAAGAAAATTATTATGATTAATGGCTTTTTCTTTTTTCATTTACAGCAGGAGAAGCATGTGGACAGTAGCTCTAATGACACGTCCCTTGTGGAGGAGCAGAATGATGCAGAATCAGCAGCTCTGATGAAGAAGCGACGGATAGAAAATGGTGTCTACCCCTGTGATCTTTGCTCTAAGGTCTTCCAGAAGGGCAGCTCCCTGCTCAGGCACAAATACGAACACACAGGTACAGTAACACCTTAACAGAAAAACCTTTTTCCTCTACTTCAATATTTAAATTTTTTTTTTTTTTTTTTTTTGCAAGCTGCATTAGTGCTATAGATGCACTGATCAATGGAGACTGAAAATGGCCGGTTTTCAGATTTATGGCCAATAAGACAGATATCCGATTCTGTGCCAGTCAAATTTAGACACACGATGGTTTATGTGGTGCACACAGTGGCACAGACTGAAAAGTAGTATCTCACAAAAATGCCGTATTCACTCGCGCATAGAAAGTGCTTGGTGTAAAAAAACGCACAGGGAAGCCTGCAGAAACACCTTGGAGGAGACACTACAGCCCAAAACTCTGAGAAAAAGAACGCCACAAGGGAAGTACTACCTCCACTGAAGTGCCTGTGTATGTACAGTGTATCCAACCCAGGGTAAATAAAAACTACATACACTTCAAAAAGTGAACTGCATGTGTAGCAGGATTGGTGTAATAGACTTTCTTCTGTTTACATTTGAAGAACTACAAATACTGCACTTCATTTTTACTTGGAAATAACCTGGAGCACTTTTTTATTTTGAGATTTGTTTGAGTGAGTGAAAACAAAAATTTAATAGTGTTTTCATTTTATTACAAATGAATTATTAAAGAAAATATATGCAGATATTTGTATATGCTGTCACTTACAGTTAAGAAAGAAAAAATCACAATCGACCAAAATCAGAATTGGCAGGGCAGACTTAAAAAAAAAGGAAATCAGAATCAGCCAAGAAAATGGTGCATTTCTAATTAGTGCCCCTCTGACTCCTTTTTCGTTTGTTTGTTTAACCTGCAGGAAAACGCCCGCACGAGTGCAACGTCTGCAAGAAGGCCTTCAAACATAAGCACCACCTGATTGAGCACTCGAGGCTGCACTCTGGTGAGAAACCCTACCAGTGTGACAAGTGTGGGAAGCGTTTCTCTCACTCTGGCTCCTACTCCCAGCACATGAACCACCGTTACTCCTACTGCAAGAAGGATGGGTCGAGCTTAGGCTCTGGATCTGGCTCAGGGCCTCGCGGCGTTCCGTCTGAGCTTGCCAGCTCTGGTACCGGGCTGCAGTCAGATAGCCGGACCACGACCCCGCCCTCCCAACTGGACTCGGATGAAAGGGAGAGCGAGGAAGAGGAGGACGATGAGGCCATTTGTATGGACGACATCCGTGTTGTACAGGTGGACGACGGTGAGTGCGAGATCTATGAAGGTAACTTTGACGACGACGACGATGATGACGATGATGACGAAGAGAGAGAGGAGATCACAGAGGAAGAGATGGTAAGAGAGGAAGAGGCAGAAGGAGAGAAGATGGAGGAGGAGCTTGTGTGTGATGTGGTGGAGATCGAGCTGGGAGACCATCACATGGAGGATGCAGAGATGGAGGAAAGAAACGAAGAAAAGGAGAAACCGGCAGGTGTGGAAACGGAGGAAATGAAAGACTGTGAAGCAAATACAGACAAAAGCATCAGGGAGGGGTCCGACAGCAGCGAACCCACAGAGGAAGTGGTGACAAACGCCAAATAAAAGTTAGGAGAACCTCCTCAGGACAGTTTGAATGTGTTGGTCACTGAAGTCGAATTCATTATGACGAAACCACATCTTGCCATCAGAAGAAAGTCCTGGCGGTTCCCTGAGTTTAACGGTCCACTACTGTGTACAAAATCCAGGTGTGCCTGAACTTGACAAAAGAAAAAACAAAACAGTGACTTTTTCATGTGGAAATTAAATATCAGTGTTAAAATTGTTTATAGAAATACAGATTTTAAAGCAAAACTTACCCATTGTTACCAGGACATCCCAGGTTGGTTTGTTTTTATTTGTCAGTGTTACTAATCTTGTTCTTGTTTGAGACATTTCAACCTATAAAGATGAGAAAATTTCTATACCTTTTTATTGCCAATGAAGTTTGCTAAATCAGTATTTTATTGAGTTCTACGAACAAAAACCTCTGCACTACAGTGTATTCCTGGTTTACCTATGGATACATGCCTCATGCATCGTATGCCCTTCAGTGTTATATATGTACACTAGCGACCGAGATGTTGTTGTGTTAGTGTTAGTCTTGGCTAGCTAGCTTTACTTTGGTTTTCAGTTTGACTGTTAGCCTTAAGGAAAATAAAGTATTCTTGGGGAGGGTTGTGGGTGGGACGGGGAGTCCAGGGTGAGAACCTGGCTTCTGAATGCCATAACCAAATCTGTCCTATCAGGGAAGGTAGAGTCACGACCTCAAAGCCAGCATCAGGCGCCTACGTTTTGCAACCCGGCCTAGCGTAAACAGGTGCAGTCTCCAGGTGAAGCAGACTCCACCCAACAAGCGGCAGTTCTTACCAAGCTTCTCCTTATTTCGATCGACTCTAGTTCTGTCCTTGTTCAGTGTTATTAGCTTAGGTATGAAGTCATGCTGTATGTGAAAGAACAGGGCTGTTTCCTGCTCCACCCCAATGCCTCCAGCCTTATGCAAGACCTGTGTACTGTTTAAAGTGCCATTGAACAGTATTATCATTTCTTCTTCACACATGTAGCCATTGTTACGTCCCTCTCTTACTTACACAAGCCTCGTGTTGACTAATGTTTGTTTACTCTCACAGAACAGCAGCGGTATTTAAAAGAGTTCCTGGGAAATTAATGCAGGTATTTAACAGTATTTGAGCCACACATGAAAGTTAGGAAACAGTATTAGGGCTATACTAAAAATTATGTTGCTTACCAACCGATAAATTGATTAGCATTTTGCGCAAAAAATTACAAACAATTCAATGTAGTTTTTTTTTTTTTCCTGATATGAATCGCTTATCAACTGTTCTGTCAACTAATGGACTTGATCGCTTCACCTCTATACAGTATAATTATAGAAAATGATGCTTTTGGTCGTTAAATACCATCGTGTTTCACAAGAATTCGTTGACTGTTCTGATTTGACAGGTAGTGACAGAAATGGTCAAATTCCAGGTCAGAAATTTGATTTGGAAGGATGAATGTGTGGGAACTATGTTGAAAACCAGTGAGAAATAGACTGAGCTGACCTGTGGATAAAACCGGCCTCCCACTAAGGTTAAAATTTTAACAGAGTCAGTGGGTCTTTACATAAATACTTAAACCAGATGTTCTGTAAATTCTACGTAGGAAGATTAGGGCCACTGCATAAAATTTGACTTCTGACTTTTTTCTGAGAAATTCCGAGTTTAAAAACAGAAGTCACATAAATTTTATGCAGTGGCCCTAATCTTCTTCCCCAGAATTCAAATTGAAATATTTGAAACTAAAAACCTTCTCAAACGGGCAGGGAGAAAGTAAACCGAGTCAGATTTGTGCACTTGACTTAGAGAGAAATATTGTGGCTCACTGTCCCGAACGTTGTCCCGCACTTCTAGTAACAAACGTTAGTGAATGTGGTTTCTGTCTCTGTGTTTTCAGTTGGTTTTTACCGAACAGTGTTTATAGCGTTAGTCTGTTTTTTTGTTCTTACGTGTCTCCTGTTTTTCTCCTCCCAACAATGGCAGTATTAGAACCCTTTTCACAGATTTAAAAAAATGTACCAGTTTAGTTTTTAGAAGACTTTTTTATATTTATGTGTCTTATTTTTATATTTTCTTTTATGGTTATTTATTACACATTGTAGTGTACATTAATGTAGTTTGAATTGATACAATAATATATTTTAGTATGAAAAATAATCTCGACAGACAAAAAAAATCCCAAATGGTGGTTCTGGGAGCTGAAGTTTGTTTTAACAAAAACTATAAAAATAAAAAGACAAAACATGTATTCTGCAAACATGAATTCTGTTTTAAACTGAAAAAAAGAAAAAACCACGGGAATGAATTGAGAAATAGAAACGGTTACATGTGCATCCACTCTTTACGTCGTAATGAAGCTACTGAATTATAAACTTTGTGATTTTAAAAGCATGAGGTGTCGCCGCTTTAATGAAGGATCTTGTTATGAAGTTGTTACTCCTCCCATTTTATTTTGAAGTCAAATTTAGATCGTTGTGCATCATTTTCTGTTCTGTGCCAACTTGTTCCATTGTACTGTTGAAGGCTGCATATTGTTTGTCCTCTACACATCCTTTGTAAATCCAATGTCTTTTTGTATAGTTTTTATTTTTGTTTTGCTCCATTTTTATGACTCCCCATCACAATAAAATATAAGACAGCATTTCCGAGTTACTTGTTTTACTTCAGCTTCCTGCTTTGTCAAAGGAAATACTCCTCAGCTGCCATCTGTGGTCATTTTTGTGAGTTGGTTCAAGGCAAGCAACAGAAAAAGATAGAGGACTGCTGAAGGAATTAACGCCAACCTGTTAACCTCTGCAAATTCCAGAAGAAGCTGACAAATTGTAACTTTTCAAGGTTGATAGTCTTGGTTGCAGTCCACCACCTTTGTCTGTAGCCATGTCCCTCTCAGCTGTTTTGGCAGTTCCAGGGGGATATTTACTAAACCTGTTGCCAGTTACCTTTTGCTGCACAGAATATTGCAGTACCACAGTTTCAGTTTAGCAGCATATTTACCAAAAGTGATGATGTAAACGAGCACGGACGCAGCTGTGTTAATTTGAATACACCTCCGTTTAGGATCTTCTGCCAGTGGGCACACATGAACCGAGAGCAAGTGTGGTAGAAAGTGCACTGAACTGTTGCAGGTAACAACTATCAGATTTCGTAACTGCAAACACGTAGGCCTCTGGCAGACCGCAAGCAAGTGTAGTAAGTTAATTAGACTGTAAACGCATTTGGAGTGAGAAATGTGCATTATAAACGATATGCCATTGTCACCAGGGTTATTATTGAATGCTAAACTGGACTTGAGCTCAGCTCTATAGAAAACACTTTACAAAGCTCTAAGAGGAAGACATTCACAATACTGCACATCCTGCTCTAATGAAAGATATGCACCCTGACTGGAACTTCAAAGAATTCAGACATGGCTTTCAAAGACCTGAGATTTGACTTGGATATGTCTTGGTTAAAACAATGAAATGATTCCATTAGAAGCAGATTATGCCAGCAGGTGACTGCATCATGATATGGTATAAAAGTGGCATCCAAGAAAGGCCAAGCCCTTTAGAAGCAAAGATGGGCCGAGGACCGTCTGACAACAAATGTTAAAAAATATTGAAATGTTTAAAACCAATGGTCTTCAAAGAAAGATAGGAAGGGATTTGGATCAGTCACCTTCTACGGTGCAAAACATCATAAAGAGATTCAAGGAATCTGGAGTGATTTCAGTATGAAAAGGGCGAGGGCCAAGCCCAAGCTGGATGACTGAGCTCTCTGATCCCTCAGACGGCACTGCATCAAGAATCATCACTCTATAAGCGATATAACCACATGGGATCAGGATGATTTTGGCACACCTGTGTCAGGCACTACAATACACAGTTACATCAATAAATGCTGCTGTGCCAAAAGGAAGTTCTATGTCAACAGTGTCCAGAAGTCAACTGCTCTGGGTTCGGAGGCATCTGGGATGGACCGTCACACAGTGGAAATATGTACTGTGGTCAGGTGAATCAGTATTTCAGGTCTTTTTTTGGAAGGAACGAATGCCATGTGCTCCGGACCAAAGACGAAAAGGACCATCCAGACTGTTAGCAGCAACAACTCCAAAAGCTAGGGTCAGTCATGGTCTGGGGCTGTGTCTGTGCTCTTGGCAAAGGTAACTTACACATCTGTAATGGCTCCATTAATGCTGAACAATGCAGAGAGATCTTGGAGCAACATATGCTACGTTCAAGATGATGTCTTTTCCAGGGACATATTTCAACAAGACAATGCAAAACCTCATACTGCCACATTACCAAGGCCTGGCTGTGGAGGAAAAGGTTGTGAGTGCTGGGTACTGCAGGCAGGTCAGTCCCGACCTGTCCCCAATAACGTGTGGCACGTTTTGAAATGCAAATTGCATCAACAAAGACCCAGGACTGTTGCACTTTAAGACTTGTTTACAGGAAGAATGGGGCAAAATGACACCTGACACACTTAATCACTTCCTCAGTCCCTATGCGCCTTTTAAGTGCTGTGAAAAAGAACGGCAACATCACACCGTGGTAAACGCTTTACACATCACTATTTTAAGTTAGATTTTACATACCGTCCCAACTTTTTCTGATTTTGGGTTGTAAAACCAGCTCTGATCCAAGCAAAGTAAATTGAGGGTAAACTACAGTCTGACATCTGCTCAGTCTCTGCTTTTTAGTTCTTAACTGCTTTATACAACAGTGGAAGTGCAGGCCATTTTTTTTTACAACATATTACAGGTTTGTTTTTCTTAGCAGAGTTTATACTGTGTGTTGCTGCATCTAAAACTGATGATTTAGCAGCAGGTGGCGCCGGAGGACCACCACTCGGGAAAAATTACACCAGAGAGGAATCAAATCTGCAGACCTCAGTGTAACATGGAAGAGAGAGAGAGAAAGAGAAAATATCTGCACTAATCACTCATAAATAATTGGATTATGAGCCGTGATTATTAATTTAAGCCATTGTCTTCTGAGTGCACAGGAGAATATGAAGATTTAACACAATATAAATCTACAAAATCTAAACAACATGTCTTTCTTCCTGGAGCAAATGACAGATTATCTACATGGGTAATTTGAGCATGCACATTTATTACGTACAATTACAGGAAACATCAATAATATGGTAGCAAGGGGGGTGGAGGGGCAGTCAAGTTTCCTCTGCGCTGGCAAAACTGACTTCCAACAGGTTTATGAGAATAATGAGTTACTTCTTTTGTCTGGGTTCCCCACAGGACATTAGACGACATACAGACTGCTATTTCAGCTACTTTTAATGCATTTCTACCAAAACACTGCTACTCAGTAGAAGCAGAACTTTGTTGTGAGAACAGATCCAGTGTAAACTGACTTAGAGTTCCAGTGAATATTCCTGATCCAGCTGGTGATCATTTGTTTGCTGTGGGTCAATGAGGAGAGAAGACGCAGCTGCAGCAGATCTGTATCTGCTATTCGTTCGGTGAAACAAGATGAACCACAGCAGGTAGTTTGCATAACATTAAACGGAGAGATAAGGCAGGAGTGCACGGCAATGGTTATGCAAGAAAAAAAGAATTAAAGTAGCAGACAGACGCCACATTTCAGCTGCTCAGAATAGACAAGGCAAGTTTCTTTGTACAGTGCCTCAGCTACAGAGCAATCAAAAACACAGAAAAGACAAACTGTGGTCATAAGGTCAGACATTAACCTCTGGCCACACCCCAGTCAGCGAATTCACAGGAGGGGACTCTGTATTTTGTAAAGGCAAAGCACCTGCCATGAAATCTAAAGCCCGAGAGACTAGGTGTGAATGAATGAAAAAGCCCGAGAGACTAGGTGTGAATGAAACAGCTTGTCCTGGTGTGGCCACTAGGAGGCAGTGGAGGTCCGACTTGTGTGGAACAGCACTGCCTTATTGGCTGCATGTTGGTGCTGCATAGCGTCTGGAAGACGCCCTCATATATTTTAGATCTCAGTGAAATATAACTGCAGGAGAGGTCAATGTACTTTCATCAGACTCCTGCTTCAGTTAAAGCACAAAAGTGTCAGTACTGAAATATGTGTTAAGACATCAAAAGTAGAATCATGCATTTGTTAGAACAAAGTATTACACTTGCTTCCTATTAAATACAGAATTCAATTTAAGGCTCTACCGGTCTCTCACTGGTCTGGGCCCATATTACACACTTTATTAGGTACACCTGTACCAGTGTATGCAATTCAATGCAACACGTCCACCTTAACATCTGTGTTTATGAAGCTCAGTTTTTGTTGAAATTGTCAGATGAATGAATTCAATTATATGTTTATTATTGAGGACATAGTTAAGTGGGGTGTTGT